GGCAGGCAGAGTGGTTAGGGGTGATCAGGCAGGCAGGCAGGTGAGCGGTTAGGAGCCAGCAGTCCTGGATTGCGAGAGGGATGCCCAACTGCCGTTTTAGGCCTGATCATCCCCTGAGGGGTCCTGGATTGGAGAAGGTGCAGGCCAGGCTGAGGGACCCCACTCCCATGCACAAATTTCGTGCTCCGGGCCTCTAGTATTCTATATTTGCTGATCTGTGACCACAGCTTGGCTCACAGCCTCTGGCTGACGTTGTGTTTTAATCATTGCCCAACTTCCTGGAGCCCCAGGCAGAGTCATGGGAGGACAGGGCCAGCCCTGCTCAGGGGTCCAAGTCCAGGACGGGAGGGATGGGCTGCACAGGCTCGGAGAGGAGTGTGGTCCCCATCCCGCCCTCCACACCCTCCCCATAGAGGGAAGGGCCTGCTCTCCACCGAACCCCTGCTTCATACCCTGGGAACCCCCTTGTGTTCAGGGTCTGGGAAGCCACCCCTGGGGAGGGCGGGAGGGCCTCACCTTTCTCTCCACGCATGCCCTTCTCCCCTCGGTCTCCTGCAGAGAGAGGAGGGTCAGCACAGGCTCGAGGACAGGACAGGCTCATGCCAGACCCCGTCACCCAGAGGACTCGTCTGTCGTCCCCCCCCTCCTGGAGCTGAGAGAGCCCAGGGCGGGGACAGGTGATGGGGGCAAGGGAGCGGGGTCTTGTTTCTGTGCCGGGTCAGTGCTGGGCTGAGGACGGGATCCTCCCTGGGCCCCTTGGGTGCTCTGGACACAGACCCCGGCCCTGGGTGAGGGAGCACCCTGGTTCGGGCAGAGTTAGGGTTAGGGATAAGGTTGGAGTTAGGGTAATGAATATGGATAGGGTTAGGGATAGGAATAGGAATAGGGTTAGGGTTTGGGATAGGGATAGGGATAAACTTAGGGTTAGGGATAAGGATAGGGTTAGAGTTAGTGTTAGGGGTAAGAACAGGGTTAGGGTTAGAGGTATAGTTAGGTTTAGAGATAAGGATAGAGTTAGGGTTAGTGTTTGGGATAAGGAAAGGTTTATGGTTACCATTAGGTTATGGTTAGGAATTTTCCCATGTGACACCCGGGAAGTGCCCCTCCTCTCTCCCTGCCCTGGGGGTGGGGGGCCTTGCCAGGGCTCTCCATGCTCTTTGCTGAGTTACCTTTGGGCCCTGGGGGTCCCGCCTTCCCCCGGACTCCTGATGGGCCTGGTTCTCCTGCAAATTCAAACATGTCAGTGAGCAAACTCCAGGCTTTAGGCCCCCAGTGCCCCCAGGTTAGACCCTCGCGAAACAGATGGAGGTGACCAGGACCTTATCCCTCCTAGTCCCCGCTGTCCAGTCAGAGGCCAGGACCTGCGACCAGGGGCATTCCCAGGGGACCAGTCCCAAGCCCAGCTCTGCCCTCGTCCGGGGAACCTGGGCGTTTCCATTGGCTGTGACTGCCGGGCCCGCTGTGGTCGCCCATGGAGACAGGCCCCCCGGCCTCAGCTGGGACCAGGGAGGGCAGGGAGGACAGTCCAGCCAGGTCCCCCCGCAGCAGGTACGTCATCACCAGGAGCCGTGCTGGCCACCCACACAGGCCCGGCGGCTCCATGGGTGACCCGACACCAGCTCCCTCCCACGGGGGCCCACACCCCAGTGGACCAAGCCCCAGGCCCGTCCTGAGACC